GAGCAAGAGCGAGACCCCGTCTCTACTATAAATAGAAACAAGAAATTAATTGGCCAACTAATATATATAAGAAAAAATTAGCGGGCATGGTGGCGCATGCCTGTGAGTCCCGCTACTTGGGAGGCTGAGGCAGAAGATTGCTTGAGCCAGGAGACTGAGGTTGCTGTGACGCTAGGCTGACGACGGCACTCACTCTAGCCCGGGCAACAAAGCAAGACTCTGTCTCAAAAAAAAACAAAAACAAACAAACAAAACAAAAAAATTTTCAAATTCTTATTTGGGATTTTATATATATCTAAATATGATGAAAATTCACTTTAACATGAAAAGCATCTAACTAAAACAAGAGAAGTATTTATTGTTTTTTGTGCCAGAGATCTCCCCTATTATACATAACAATTAAAATGCTTTGTACTACAACTTAGCAAGAGTTATTAAAAAAATAAAAGTCATTTATTTAAATTATTAAAACATACATCAACTCGCTCTTCTTTAAAGTGTTAATGCTTTTCAATTCTTCTCTCAGGCTGGTTTCGAACTCCTGACCTCGAGCAATCCGCCCGCCTCAGCCTCCCAGAGAGCTAGGATTACAGGCGTGAGCCACCACGCCCGGCTTGAAAAATTGTTTTTTATCTCTGAGGAAACTCTTTTAGGATTTATAAATGCTAATGTTAAGTGAAGAAGATGATGTAAAGAGTCAGGTATAACTAAACTTGAGGGGGAAATGAAGAATTAGTATGAATTGGTTGGTATCTTTTTATTCAAACTTTATTTTTAAAATTTTAGATACGAAGAGCTTATTAAAGAAGAGAAAACAACTAACAATGAGCTGAGTGCCATATCAAGAAAAATTGACTCCTGGGCTTTGGGTAATTCAGAAACAGAGAAAGCTTTCAGAGCAATCTCAAGCAAAGTTCCTGTAGACAAAGCAGCACTAAGTACCCTTCCAGAAGAAATACTAGATTTTGAAAAATTCCTTCAGCAAACAGGAGGGCGACAAGGGGGCTGGGATGATTATGATCACCAGAACTTTGTCAAGGTGAGAAACAAACATAAAGGGAAGCCAGCATTTATGGAAGAAGTTCTAGAACACCTTCCTGGGAGAACACAGGATGAAATTCAACAGCATGAGAAATGGTATCAAAAATTTCTGGCTCTGGAAGAAAGAAAAAAAGAGGTAATAATAACTACGATAGCTATTACATGTGTATTTCTATGTTCTAGACACTGCATTAAATTCTTAACATGTATTATTAACTTTATGATAAACCCAAATCCCATGAAGTATGTTTATAGTTTTTTGTGGGTTTTTTTTTTTTTTGGAGACAGGAACTGGTTCTGTTGTTTGGGTTGGAGCTTGCTGCAACCTCAAATTCCTAGGCTCAAGCGATCTTCCTGCCTCAGCCTTCTGAGTAGCCTCCACCACACTTGGCTAACTTTTTTATTTTCTGTGGAGATGAAGTCTCACTATGTTGTTCAGTCTGGTCTCAAACTCCTGGCCTCAAGTGATGCCTCCAAAGTTTTAGGATTACACATGTGAGCTACCACACCTGGCCTATTTGTAGTCCCCCCCACTTCACCCTTTGTTTTATAGAAGATGAAACTGAGGCATAGAGAAGTTAAGTAATTTTACCCAACTTATGGAACTGTTGTTGGGCTTCCTCAAGGCCAAACATTTCTATCCCAACAAATTACACAATAGGTCAAAAAACTTATGATTGTCAGCAGAATCCTGTCTGTCCGCTTCCTAGAAATATAGATAATCCAGATCCACTCAGACTTTTGAAAAAAGTCACCTTAGCAGCAAAGGATACCTTATTTTGAGTAGAAAAGCAAGAGGCAGTAGAGAAAAATGGTTTGACTATTAAAAATTTCTTTGAGGTTTTTGAACTTCAGCTTCATTGCTTATTTTAAAGACTCAAAATTTTGGTTACTGCAGAGAAACACAATAACCCTTGATTGTAGTAAATGTCTAAAAAGGTCCACTTTCACAAAAATATTGTTCTGGCTTTAGTTTAGGTCAGGATTTCTCAGCCTTGGCACTATTAACACTTGGGACTGGACAATTCTTTGTTGTGGGGGGAATGTTCTATGCAGTAATGGATGGTTAATAGCATCCCTGGTCTCCAGTCACTACATGCTCATAATACCTTCTTAATTATGATTATCAAAAATGTCTCCGGACATTGCCAGATATCCCCTGGGGGGCAAAAATCGCCCTTAGTTGGGAACCATAGGTTTAAATACTAAGTCTGAGTGTTTTTTTTTTTTCGTAGACTTTAGCTATGACAAACTTTAACTTGCTTGGTTTAACAAGAAAGGTTTGCCTGTTCAATAGATGATATACCTAAGGAGCATTAAAGAAATATTGATTCCATGTTTAATCTAAAGTTTTAGAGGAAACAGCTGGGTTTGTTATTGTTGTCATTGTTTTCCCCTCTCTGAAATAAGTTGAATGTAGGGAGGTTGACTTTTGGGGCTTGGAGAAAAATTTGTGAAACTTAAGTAATTTTGAAAGACTCAAAATAACAAGCTATTAAGGATTATTTGGGGCTGGGTGCAGTGGCTCATGCCTGTAATCCTATCACTCTGGGAGGCCGAAGCAGGAGGGAGGATTGCTCAAGTTCCGGAGTTCGAAACCAGCCTGAACAAGAGCGAGACCCCGTCTCTACTAAAAATAGAAAGAAATTAATTGGCCAACTAAAAATATATAGAAAAAATTAGCCAGGCATGGTGGCACATGCCTGTAGGTACCAGCTACTAGGGAGGCTGAGGCAGAAGGATCCCTTGAGCCCAGGAGTTTGAGGTTGCTGTGAGCTAGGCTGACGCCATGGCACTCTAGCCTGGGGAACAGAGTGAGACTTTGTCTTAAAAAAAAAAAAAAGAATTATTTGGGCTTTCTTACCAGGATACTGAAAGCATGAGGTTCTCAAAGTGGTCCCTAGACCAGCAAACTCAGTATCACCTGAGACCTTGTTAGCACTTAGCAGGCCCCAATGCCAGACCTAATTAGATGTCTGGGAGTGAGAGAGCACCAATCTGTGCTGTAACAAGTCCTCTAGGTTATTATGTTAGAAGCTGAAGTTTGATAACTACTTCTCTAGGGGAAAAAGAACAGACACGGTGCTTCTTGTAATAAAAATGAACACAGTTTCTATAATACCTTACTCTTCTTATTCCCAAATACTCTATTTCCTGATATTTGATGATTGATTGGATATAGGGGTGAGGTAGAAGGGGTTTGAACATGGAGGTGCAATTTGCTGGAGGAAGACATGCTGGAGGAGAGGGAAGTTTGGGCGGAAATAATAATATCAGGAATTCAGTTTTAAATCTACTGAGTTTAAGATATTGAATAGGATATTTACCATTTTTATCTCCAATTCCTTTAATATATCCCATGTTTTGTGTAAATGAAGAAACTTATCATTTTCAGACATGCCCTGGACTTTCTAGCCTGAGTACTCTTGCTTATCTTTTCTCACTTTCTGGAACCTGCATTCTTTCTTTCCCTCTCCACTCTAGCTTATCAAAATCTGCCCAGATCAGATGTTGCCTCCTTCTTGCTCAGCCAAACATAAGTAGTCCCCTTCAGGATTTCATTACCACTTTGTTTATACCTTTTTTTTACGATGTGCAGTGGCTTGTCCATATTGTATATCACCTAGATCAGTGCTGCTCAGACTTGGTCCGTGGAGTGGATATTGGTTTGCTGTTTGCAAACACTTATTTACAATGAGGTAAGGTGATACTGCATCAGAATCAACTGTCCAGTAAGCAGAGTTTAGCTCAGTTGACTTTTGTTCATAGAAAATGTTCTCATTGAAGGAAGCAGTACATTGATTTTACATTTTGATATAAAATCCTGATGTTTTTGTGGACTGGTACTTTGAATTACACTGTACTAGATGGCATTTGGTATTGTTTTAATCATCTATTATTCTTATGACATTGCCTTGTATACAGTAGGTGCACATACCATAAAGATGTATTAAATGAAGGAATGCTGCACTGTAAGGATCAATAAGGAAATGGTTTCCTGACTTCAGGGAAAAGTAATTCAGTTATTATGTCCTATGTGGCATAGAGAATGCAGCTAGAATTTTAAATGCTTTTTATATACCCATAGAAAATGCTATTGAGCTATTTTTTATTTTATTTTATTTTTTTGTACTTATGGAGTATTGTGTGCCAGGCATTAACTCGTTTAATCTTCACACCAACCCTGTGCAAGAAGTACTGCCTACCATTTTATAGATGAGCAAAATGAGGACAGAGAAGTTTGGTGACTCTTCAGGCAAGTTTGCCATGTATCTTACACCTAGTAAACGTCAAAGCCAAGGTTTGTTCCCAAATAGGTTTCACAGCTCTTTTTCTTAACCATCCCGCTTTCAATTCCTCTTCTGATATTTAACCAAATAAATATCATTCAGAGAGTATTCTAAGCATAGAAAGAGAATTTGGAAGCAGAAGTGAAATGATTAGAGGAAAGGGATGTTACCCACAAAGATAAAAGAAGCAGGTAAAGAGGAGAAAGCTTCATGAGTTGCAGTCCTTTTGAGCCTGGGGATTAAGAGAGGAAAACGAAGGCCAAAAGAATAACCCATTATTCAGAGTTTTAAAAGATACAGTAATTTTTTAAAAACCAGAAGTAGAAAAAAATTGCATTGGTTAAAAATAAAACTTAAAAACCTAAGCATCCAGCATCCTTCATCAGTTCTTTCTTTCCAGAAAGATAGAATTAAGGTTATATTTTAAAATATTTTTGGTTATTAAAAATATTTTTGCTGTCTTTTTTAAATCATTTAGTCAATTCAGAATTGGAAAACTAAAAAGCAGCAAAAAAAGGAAATCTTCAAGTTAAAGGAAAAGGCAGACAACATACCCATGACTTTTCATAATAAACAAGAAAATAATCAAAAGCAAAAAGAGGAACAAAGAAAGAAACAGAAATTGGCAGTTGAAGCTTGGAAAAGACAGAAAAATATAGAAATGTCAATGAAATATGCTTCCCAGTTAAAAGAAGAGGAAGAGAAAGAGAAAAAACAGCAGAAAGAGCGCCAACGCCAGTTTAAACTGAAATTATTACTAGAAAGTTATACCCAGCAGAAGAAAGAACAGGAAGAATTTTTGAGGCTTGAAAAGGAGATAAGGGAAAAGGCAGAAAAGGCAGAAAAAAGGAAAACTGCCGCTGATGAAATTTCCAAGTTTCAAGAAAGAGTGAGTAAATTTATTTCCTAATTTTTAAATGCTAAACATCGAGGTATTTCTTCCAGATTCAGTTCAGCAAAAATTGAATGCTTCCTATATATTGGAATTACACCTAGTATTAGTATACCAAAATGAGTAACCCGTGCTCCCTAATTTCCAGGAGGTCATAGTCTGGTGGGAAACATACACAGAAGTAGGAGATTTCAGTATAATGTGGTAAATGCTGTCGTGAGGTGTGGGCAGAGTATTTTAGGAGGTAGATACACAAGCAGGGATACTCACCACAGCCATGAGTATCAGAGAGAAAGTAATACTTGAGTCTTAAAGGAGAAGAAAGGGGAAAGAAAGGGGAGATCCTTCCTAAGACAGGGGAACAGCATGAATAGCAGTTTGGAGGAGTATGACAGTGTGATTTGTGGGGGAAACTATAACCACTTTAGTATTCTCAGGGCAAGAATCAGGGGGGAGATGGAAAGCAGCAGATGACCAGGCTGGAAATGGAAAGGAAGCTGCTGGCAAGGCTGAGTGTCTTGTCTTCCCTGCCAAATACCTTTCCTGCCAAACTGGTTGGCTTTACCCCATAGGTGATTTACTTATTTGTTCTTCTTTCCACCATAATGTAGGCTCCATGAGGACAAAGGTTTTGTGTTTTTTTTCATCCCTGTACCCTAGGATCAGGTGCATTGTAGATACTTGATGTAGACTTAAAGGAGTCAAGGTTATTGGTGGGTGGTTGGATTATAGGTGATTTTAAACAAATTTATACAAGAAAAATACTAATAAAGATAAGTGGAATTCAGTCCAAAAAGAATTAAACAAGACAAGGAAGGAGACTTTAAAATGACATATAATTTTTATGAATATAACTATTATTATTGTCATATGCATCAAATACATAGCAGCAACATTTGTAAAGCAAAAAATAAGGGAGATACAAAGAAAAATAATAGACAAAAACACAATAATAATGGAAATTTTAGTTCATTTCTTTCAGTCCACGTATAAAAATCTTCCTAAATAACAAAAATAGCCCATGCCTCCTCACTCCCCAAAATGATAAGCAGGCCACATAATAAAGGACTTAGAAAAAAGAAAATGCATAAAACAAAATATAAAAGAGATCTAAAACCAGACATATCTATATTGATGAGTGAAAATGGGCTTAACTCACCCATGAAAAGAAAAGGAGTTTTAGATAGAACTTTAATGTAAAATAAAAAATACCTAAAAGAAATAGATACAGAAAGGATGTACACGTGTTAACATTTATATTCAGAGAAAATAAAGCTCTTAGCCTTGGTTGGAAAGGGTTAATATTGAAGGAATATTGATAATTAAGGTAATTTAATTTTACTTGCAAACAATATAACTTTAAAACAAATTCTAATTAATTTTACTTTCTTTTTTGTTGTTGTTTTTCTTTTTTTAGGATTTACATAAACTTGAATTGAAAATTCTAGATCGACAGGCAAAGGAAGATGAAAAGGCAGAAAAACAAAGAAGACTGGCAAAATTAAAAGAAAAGGTATTCTGTACTGAGATTAATTTATTTTTATTGTTATTTTCCTAATTCCTTGATTTGAAAGGACACCGACATCAAATCTGTTTTCTTTATATCTTTATTTCTAGTAACATCTACTTTAAATTTCATATTTATTCACATATTAGAAAGCATAACTGAATAACTATTGTTTGAATTATACCATTTTACATTATAAGCCCTTTTTTCTTTACCCTGAATTATTTCTTTCTCTTCTTATTTGTCACTCTTTTCATTCTTTCTATGTGAACCTCTCTTTTAGAGGCAGCTACAAGCATTGCTTAATCTCACTGTAATACTCAGAACCAAAGATGTTGGTGACCCTCATAGATAAAGCAAAGAATTTAACTGGTGGTTACTTACCCTAAATTTATTATCTGGCTATATCACTATCATATTTAGCCATATTATATTTCTCTCATAATACAAATAGAAAAATAGAAATAAAATAATAGAACTAGAAAAAATAAATAATAGTTTATGAATAGATTGATATAGTCCAAATTTTATTTGAGCCATATGAGCCCAATTAGAAGTTTACTAAAGAGGTTATTAACTATGTTTTTTGAAACTGTTTTCTTTTGCTAACGATATTTCTTGCTTACTAGTACAAACTTAGTTGATATAAATTAACTGGCACCATTTTACTTCCAATACAGGTTGAAAACCATGTTAGTAGAGACCCCTCTAGGCTTTACAAACCTACCAAAGTTTGGGAAGAACGAACCAAAAAAATAGGACCAACGGGCTCTGGACCACTTCTACATATTCCACATAGGTAAAAAAAAAAGAATAAGTGTTCAGTTAATAATAATTTAACATCTGCATGTCTATATTTTATATAATTTCTATATATTATATATAAGTATATATTATATTTTATAGTAATAAGTTGATAAAGCAAATCTATAAACTATTTTTAAAGTTAATGTTTAATCAGATAGGTGTTTTTTTTTTAATTTCCTATACATTTATAATTGCTCTTTTCTTTTTCTCTTTAGGGCTATTCCAACCTGGAGACAAGGAATATAAAGAAGAATATGAGATAATGAAGTTGCTATTCAGTTGATGAAAATGTTAGCATATTCAGTTATACGAGGATAAAGTGACTAACCATGTTCTTTAATTACCACTAGCCTACTCAGATTGATTATTGTGCTGTGATTGAATTGAGAGGTATTAAGTTTCATGAGGGTTTGTCATTAGTATTTCCTATTTCTACTACGAGGGCATATAATATATGTATGTTGGCCTGTTTTTGATGTAAAAGTTATTTAAATAAGTTTATGTTACAAACATTCCATTTAAATACTCCAAACATTTCAAAGATTTTTGTTTTTGTCATGGCATAGCCAAATAAATTGGGACAATCATAGAATGACATTTTTTAAACCAAAATTTTGTAACTTTTATAACTTGGAGGTAAGTTAGCTTGAGTAACAAAAAATGTAAAGTGGTTTTTTTTTTTTTAGAGTTGTGAAAAATGTTAGTACTTTTTCTAAGTTTAACAAATTGGTGGTTTGTCAGTTATTTTTGTGTAATAAATATTTTGTATTTGTGAAGCATGCTTTGTTTTATATAGAGAGTATTTTTAAAAGATACCTGTCATCTCATATACTCTATTAATTGTATTATTGATATAATCTTTTTAGTTTCATTCATATATTCCAAATTTTCCTTCAGCCTTTCTGGACTTCACACATTTATAAAATCTTTGTGTCTTTCAAATCTTCCTGGCTAATGCAGTTGTCTTTTCTATTTTTGTTTTCTTCAAAATAGAAGAATTCTTTGTTCTGAAACATCATCTGAAATAAGCTAGATTTAGAATACTATGATTTCTCTTGGTGGCATTTAAAGTGTTTTAAAATTGCTAGACTGATATGTTTGGTCAAAAGTTAAATTTTAAAACTTCCAAACTTGTACATAAGAACACAATTTAACTTAATTCCTTTCAACTTTTCATATTATGAAATCTTAGTTTCTAACCTTGACTAGTTCTCACTTTATGGGAAAGTTGCCATATATACAAAAACAGGAAACTTTTGTCTTATGAGTTTCATATTAGAGTATCTTTAATTATAATTTGATACATTAGGTTAAATGACTCAGTTAGAAATTTACTATGAGTAGTGGTCAAACCTTTTCTTATTTCACAGTTAATATTCAAGGTAGATGGCTTCCAAATTTTGGGGAATGAATTCTGATTGTACAGTTATTGGTGCAGAATGAGAAAATCGACATTTAAAAAAAAACCCTTAATTAAGAATGCTTATTTTATTTGTTACTTGCTCTCCATAGCTTTTTTTAAAAAACAAATTGAAGCAGTTTAGAAATAAAATATAGAACTAGAAGAGGGAATTTAAAAACAGTACTGAATAGTTACAAGATACAGAAAAGTAAATGTTTCTTATGTGTTGCTTTTTTACATGTTGCTTTTTTTGTTGTACACAAATGCACTTTTCAATTTCCTGCATCTAAGGCATCTAAGGTAAGCATTCTGGGTGATACGATTCTTGTGCCTTTTTATTTTTGGTTTGGTTTTGTTTTTTAATAAAGGAAAGTATGGAAGTTCCTATGAAGAAATCAGTCTTTCTAACTGAATCTGAAATGAAGAATTTATTATACAGTTCCTTTATATAAAAGATATGGCATAAACATAGTTGATAATGTCTTTAGTTATGGGTTCATAGAAGTGATGTCAAATAAACATTTCTTATACTGGTTTAAAAAGTACATCAAAAAGAAATTTAGGGAAACAAGCACTAAAGAAGAAATGTTATAGAATGCCTATAATTTCAGGGTAACTTTTTCCAAAAATATACCTACATATTTTAAAAGAGGTACAGTCATATAGTACATATGAATTACTATACTATAATCACTTTTCATTATACATGTTTTCCTATGTTTATGCATAATTCAAACATTATCATTTAATGGCTAAATAATATTTAATTATAGAGATGGTCTATCTTATACTTTTTTTTTCCTTTTTTTATATTTTTATTTTTTTTCCGAGACAGAGCTCACTCTGTTGCCCAGGCTAGAGTGCCATGGCATCAGCCCACCTCACAGCAACCTCAAACTCCTGGGCTCCAGTGATCCTCCTGCCTCGGCCTCCCAAGTAGCTGGGACTACAGGCATGCACCACCGTGCCCGGCTAATTTTTCCATATATTTTTAGTTCTCCAGCTAATTTCTTTCTATTTTTTTAGTAGAGATGGGGTTTCACTCTTGCTCAGGCTGGTCTCAAACTCCTAGCTCAAACCATCCACCTGCCTCGGTCTCCCAGAGTGCTATAGGATTACAGGTGTGAGCCACCATGCCTGGTAGAATGGTCTATCTTTACTTTGAAGACTTGAGCTATTTTCACTTCTTAGCTAGAAATGTAAAGTAGTACTTTATGTGGAGGTTATTAATAGATTTTGTCATGCATATGCAAAAAAATATGTATGGTTAAAATCACTCATGAAAATCTTTTTACTGACCTAGGAGGTTATATTTACTCTCAATGAGTCCAATGCAACAAGTTTTTCTCCAGCTTTACATCAGACTGCTGGTCCTTGAGCTGAGAATTGGATTAATATATTGGCTTCCCTACTTTAAGGGCCACGATTAGAATTATTAATAATTTTCTGAGCACATATGGTGTTCATAGTTGATTCTAGTAAGTTAAACATGTATTATATACTCCACTTTGAACATCTTCAGGCATTTGAGGGTATCTGTGAAGGACCAATCTTAATTGTACCAGTGAAAACAACCTAGACTGAGCATATGTAAGGGGCAAAGACTGTGAGCTCCATATTTACAGGGAAGCGCCAAAGATAGCCCTCTTCCACACAGTGCTGTTTGTTAATATAGTATTTGTTAAAAGACATGCAAGAATACCTGTGACTAAGTAGTTTTACTAGTACGAAAAATTAATTCAAGGTGCTTTGGACTATTGAATAAGTACAAGATAACTCCAGCCCACAGGGTACATTTTCTTAAGAATTACATTTCTTAAGAAGCTAACAATTAATTATACCCAAACTTGTTAGCTAAGTTGATACAAAGAACCTAGTTAGACCCATCCTTGGGTGGATTTACCCCTCCTGGCCAAAAATGCCTCACAAACCTTTAAAGGGAATAGCATATGGCTAAAGCAACTTAAATACATATTTTTGGAAAACAACTAGAAGCATGTTAATTCATTTTTTTAGTTTACAGGTAGTTGGAGAACATGTTGAGTTTATTTTGCTGTTGTGTATTGATGCAATGTTGATTCCTGATGACACATCAACGCAAAGAGTAAAGTCTGTAAGATGTGTAAAAAAAATGTCAGTAGTTTCACCCACGTATGAATATCTATGGTGTTTGTGTGTTGCAAGTATACATATATTTTAAAGTGATTCCTGGTATTCCAGAGAGAATTAGAAAAGTCTCTTACTTTCGTAGTGTCAATAATTAACAAACTTTATTTCCACATTTTGATTTGTAGGCTTAGTTCCCTATCCATTCAGCTTAAAACTGTGGCCCTCCCAAATTCAGACTATTAGCAAATTTATACTAATCCACCCCCATTTTCAGATACACCATGCTCACATTCTTTAGGGCCAGAGTTTTCTCAAAGGGTACGAGAACCTATTGATTGACCTTGCAATTCCTCCCAAATATCAAATGAGCATAAAAGTTCTGACAGAGGGGTTTGTGGGCTGATTTTATAATACAAGGCCTGCGAGGTGTTTCCAAACTTCTGGGGCTTAGAATAGAAAAGGTTGGGTATTGCGCTAGCTATGGAAAAATCAAGGAGGGAAAGTGTAGCACAAGATTTTCAGCTGATAGGGGACGGTTTCAATCACCGCATTGGCCTGCGACAGGCTAACACCCTTCGCCACCTAACACCTCCAGGTTACCGGTTGGGGTTTGTTCACGCCGCCCGGCAATTGCTTCCGGGTTGCGGCGGACGTCGCTTCCGGAGCAGCATGGCGACCACTGAGGAGGAGAGGCTGGCAGGGAACGGTGAGGGAGAGCGGCTGGATTTCCTGAGGGACCGGCACGTGCGGTTCTTCCAGCGATGCCTCCAGGTCCTGCCGGAGCGCTATTCTTCGCTCGAGACCAGCAGGTAACTCGTCGCCACAGTTAGCGGGGCCGCACAGAGCCGGGGCTCCGGCGCCAGCGGAAAGACGCAGCGTGGCGGGACAGCAAACCGGGCGCCCGCAGGGGGCTGTGCCGCCGCCCACCCGGCTGTGACCGGTTCCTGCCTTTTCGGACTGGCCTGCGGTCACCCTCACTCCCCCGGCTATGGTAGGAGGGTCTGAAAAGCTATAAGTCGAGGGCTTTTGGAATCTTCAGTTTCCGCCTTTTTCACTTCCCAACCATTTTCCTGTCAACTCGGAGCTTCCTTTTTACTCCCTGTCCCAGAGCCTGTGAGTCACTTTGTCTCATTACTTCCGAATATAAAAGAAAAAAGACAAAGCGTTTGTCTTCAGTGCTTCCCTTTCTTCTCTAAAGTCATTAACTCTTAATTGAATGCCTGTATGATGTTTGGTGAGTAAGAGCAGCAGAGAGAGCCTTTAAGGATTGAGTAGAAATTTACTTTCCAGGAATTACAAATTTAATGGTAGACGGAAGAAGTGTGGCGTTGCGTGAAGCAGTCTGTGTAAAGTGTTTTGCGATAGCTGAGGAGTGTGTTCTGGCACATGAGACTGTCAGTCAGCTAAGACTTTGTCATTCACCATGAAATCAGAGGATGAAAAGAATGAAAGGAGGCGGCGATCTTTGCTCCGCATTGCTGTGTTTTGAAGTGAGGCTCCAAAGCTGCGTGAGACTGGATGGGAAGAAAGAGCAGATTGTTTTTGCTCTAATCTCACTCCACGTTTTCTGAACTCTGAGCTTCTGGTGTATTTTGAACACTGCATGACTGGGTCAGTTTTAGGAGTTTTATAGATTACATATTATGCACACGTGCTCAAGAAATATATTTATTATGGTGGGTGCTGGAGTACAGCTGAAGAAGACAAGCCGGCATTGACATAGAGTTCTGTGCTATATGTTAGTATAGGATTCATGGGACCATATAGAAAGGGCATTTACCTAATCCAAATTTCTTTAAGGAAGCCTTCTTTAATCACACTTCCCAAAGGGACCACTTTCAGTCACCACCTAACATTACATATTTATTGGCTTATTTGTTTAATATCTTTCTATTACCCTGGATTGTAAACTTCATGAAGGCAGGATCCTTGTCTATCTTGTTTACCTCTATAATACACACTGGGGCTGCCCTATCCAATATGGTAGCTACTGTCCATGTTTGGCTATTTAAATTTGAATTAATTAAATCAACTTAAAAATTCAGTTCTTCTGTTTGCATAGCAGCCACATTTCAAGTGTTCAGTCACCATATTGACCAGTGGCTATTGTTTCTTTCTATTTCAGCATTTTCATCATCTCAGAAAGTCCTATTGGACAGCATTGCACTAGGACCTTGAATAGTATCTGGCATATCAGAAGCACTAAGGAAATATTTGTTGAATAATGTGAGCAGAATCCTGAAGGATGAACAGATTCTTACAAAAGAAAGAGTAAAACAGTATTTATATTCCTTCCTCAATTCATAGGTATTGATTGACTAGCAGAGCTCATACCTTCACCTAAATTAAGATTTCCAGAACTCAGTCCATTGGTTATAGTGACATAGAATATTTAAAAATGTTGATAAATCATTTATGTCATAGGGATTAATTTTATTGACTTCAAAGCATTTGGATAAAGTCGTCCGTCCTATTTTTTTTATTCCTGACACATAATATACATATTTATGGGGTGTATGTGATAGATATTTTGATACATGCCTACAATACATGTGTATGTCCTGTTGTTAAATCGTGCTTGTTAAACAGTTGAACTTTGCTTGTAGCTATTGTTATAGGTCTGTGATTGCATTTTCAAAATGCCAACATGTTTGGTCTATTCTATAAAATTACAGCTTGGACAAAACCATATAGACTAATGCATGTTGGTGTTAAACTCTATAATTCTGCTAACAGCATGAGTAAAACAACAAAAATTGTCTGACTTATTTAACAATTGATTTAATCACTTTAATATCGTAGAATTTACACCAGGCAATATGTGTTAGATAATAGATATGTAATATTTTGGTGCATTGATTAAGCAATATTAATTATATCCATTTTCTGTCTAGTGGTTGACACTTGAATAGAATTTTTATAACATTTTTGGTTTTCTTATGACTCACTTAATAACCATATTTAAGATAACTGCATGTGTCAATTTTTGTAGTGATTTTAAGTTTTTCTATTTCCTGAATCAGTCTTTACTTTCCTTAGTTTAGCATTAATTCCTTTTATGGTGTACAGGATTCATAATTGACTTTAAGATGCTGTGAAGAAGTTCCAATCTTTTAAGCAAAAGTGACTGATCACAGAATTTCTACTGGTGCCAGTTTTAAGACAAAACAATGCATTGGCTAAGTCACAGTCCTTACCCAGCATTGCAGTTGAATTCCACAAGCATTTATAGAGTGCATACCATATGTCTAGGTACAGGCATATAGTGTAAAACCAATGATTCAGGTGTTCCTCTGTTCATTTCTTTTTGCAAATATGTATGAAAAAGTTGTCAAGAAGGCTAATATTGGACCGGATATTTAGTAGCTTAAAGGGTTTTTTGTAGTTATGAGTTATTGTTGCCACTTGCATTTGGGTAATGGAAAACAGAGTAGGCTTTTTTATTGAGGAACAAAATACTGACCATTTTCTAATGTTGTTTTTACTAATCCAACTGTTCTAGAGGAAAAATTTAGGCAATTTGTATTTCACAAGGCATTTGCAATATACCTAGTCCTTCTATTCTCATGTTCTTCCATCTTTCCATATGTATTCTGTGTTGTAACTTGTTTCCTTCCATTCCATAACTATTTTGTCCTTTAATTTCCTCCCTTATCTCAAGTATATCATAGTCTGGCAGTGTATCTCTCAAAATAAGTGTGTGGAAGGCTTTTAATTAATGACTTCATGGTGCTTATAAAAATGCGCATACCTGGACCCCTCCCCATGTCTACTGGGTTGGATTCTTTTTGTGGGCCTGGGTGTCTGTGTTATAACAAGCTTCCTAGGTGGTTCAGATACTCACTAAACTTTGAGACTGTTTGCCTGATAGGAGAAACAAGTACGCAGATAGTTACTACAGCAGTGCTTCCCCACTCAAATGTGCATGTGAATCACTTGGGTGTCTTGTTAAAAAGCAGATTCAATTGCATACATCTAGGTAGGGTCTGAGATGCCTTTCTAACAAGCTCCAGGTGATTATGTTATTGCTGATCCCCTGACTATAAACAATGATTAAAATATTCACAGGGCATTATGGAAGTAACTAGCTCAACCTGAAGAGACATAAGGACTTAGAGAAGGCTTCTTGAAAGAAATAACCCAGAACTAAATCTTAAAGAATGTGTTCCAGGGTTTTGTTTTGGTTTTTTTTGCAAATGAACAGTAACAGTAAAGGCAGATAAGTGAATGTTGAGCAGAGAAAGAACTTCAGTCATTTCTCTAACAGATCAAAATGTAAGCAGGGATCTGGCAGGAATTAAGAGATTGATGTGGGTCAGATCATGGAAAGCTTTGTGTGCTTTGTCAAGAAAATTGAATTTGATGCGATGTAAGTGACAGGAAACGGTGGATCTTCATGGTTAGATATGCATTTTAAAGTGATCATTGGATTTCAGATTGATCTTTGTATTGGGTGGGACAGGACCAGAACCAGGAAGACCAGTAAGGAAACTGGTGCAGTAATTCTGGAGAGAGATTCTGGGGCAGTGAAAGTAGGGATAGAAAAGAGGAGATGAAGGAGTCCCAAAATTCTAGGACTGGAACTACCATCTGGTCTGGAGAATAAGAGGCAAAAGGAGCAGGTTTAGAAAAGAAGATGATTTCTGTAATGACACTTATATAACCTGTTTAAGATTAGGAGGTTTTATTCATTTTTGTCATGACATCTCATCTGTAATAGATGTTCAGTAGGTGCTTCTTGTTGAATAATTATCATAGTAGAAAAACTATTTAACAAGTTAAATAATTCCAAAGATGTATGACTGTACTTAAAGTATTTACCAGGTGAATCAGCCATTGAAAAATATTATATGTTTAGAATTCATGCATTCTTTCATTCATTCACTCCAAAGATTTTATTGGGGCATCTGTGTGCTAGTATTTTAACTTTATGATTAATTCTAATGTGTCTTCTAAGGCTCTCTCTTCACTTGACATGATTATCAATTTTATTCGTGTTCCTATTTCTTAATGTAGTTGCTTGTTTATAATTTTAGAACTATTGGCCCTGCGCAGTAGCTCACACCTGTAATCCTAGCACTCTGGGAGGCTGAGGTGGGAGGATCACTTGAGGTCAGGAATTTGAGAGCAGCCTGAGCAAGAGTAAGATCGTCTTTACTAAAAATAGAAAAAGATTAGCTGAGCATTGTGGCATGCGCACCTTTAGTCCCAGCTACCCAGCTATAGGATCGTTTGAGTCCATGAGTTTGAGGTTACAGTGAGCTATGATCACTCCACTGCACTCTAGCTTGGGTGACAGAGCTAGACTCTGTCTCAAAAACCAACAAACAAAAACTCTGCAATATGATTTAGCCATAGGCCCACCTGAGATCTAGGCAAGAATGCAGTCCATTCAGTCCATTGTTAAGGATACTTAGAGATGTCAGTAAAGGGAGGGGTTGTCCCAGAAAGGGGCAGGGCAAGTGATCTAAAAATCTAGTCAACTCCTTAAATCAGTGTTTCTGATATATTCCCAAATTGTCATTCATGCTCTAGCCTGACTGTATACTAGTCATTGATATCTTATCAGTGTGACTGAATTTTTTGTCTACTGCCCAGACTATAAACTGTGTTTATTCCTTGTTTCCTTTTTTTTTTTTTTTTTTTGGCTCATTTGTTCTTATTTAATCCTTGGTTGTGATTTTTTGTTCTTGTTTTTTGTGCTGCTGCTTAAGCCTGGAATATTTGAGATCTTTTGGAGACATTTAGTTTGCCCCCTCTCATCTGTGAATTGATCCACTGGTAAAGCAAATTAATTTACGGGAAAAATGTTACTTTTTTATCCATGTAAAATAAATGTTTTATATGCATTGTTCAGAGTATTAGAAGGAAGTATGCAGGAAGACATGGCTTCCTTCAGCTTCTCAGGCTGACTCAGAGATTCAGATCTAGGGAAAAAAAGAAAGGAAGAGAACAGAAAAATGTTCTCCAAAAGAAATAATAAGGTAAAAATAACTTTATTGGCCTGATTTTAGGTGCATGTATTGGCAAAATTACTCCTGTATTTCTGCACTGAGTCAGGTTGCCCATTAGTTTATACCCCAAGTAACAGTCATCTGGGTACCATAAAACCCTAGATCAATTCTCTCAGAGGCCCTTAGCCCAAAATTCTTTTGTATGTCTTATGGCTTATTTAATTCTCTCACTCTCAAAGTTTTAGGAATACTTAAAAGAATTCTGGGGCAATTAGAAAAGGAATACTTTGTCAGCTTATCTTAGAGGGAGGTCGGACATGTGCCCTTGTTAGTTCTATCAGCCCTTGCTGGGTGCTACTGATACGGCCTCACTTTATCAGTATAAACTATTCACCATACCTATGTTAATCCTACAAACCTTACAGTCTCAACCTCAAATATGAGTCGAAAATACTGGACTTTCGGGAACCGTTAGTAATTAGGTATGCAAGATTTTCAAATACTTTACTACCAGATGATTGATTTCTTGTGTTTGATACTTATAAATGAAATGCATTCATATCTAGGAACAAGTAACAGGACAAACACATCATTCAGATAACACATAAAGATAACGGTGTAACTTTAGAGCAGAGTTTCTCGACCTCAGCACTGTTGACATTTTGGGCCAGATAATTCTTTGCTGTATGGGCCTTTCCTGTGCATTGTACGATGTTTAGCAGCATTCCTGGCCTTTACCCACTAGATGCCAGCAGGACCTTCCCCAGGTTGTGACAACCCCAAATATTTGATTATCCTGTGTCCCCTTGGGGGCAGCGTTGCCTAAGTAGAGAACCACTATTCTAGAGCAGTACTTCTAAAACTTGCCTGCACATTAAAATCACCTGGAAAGTTTAAGAAAAAACAACAACAAAAAACAAGACCCAAGTGCCCAGACCCCACCTTCTACCCAGAGATTCTGATTTATTAATAATTGTGAAGGCAGGACTTGGACCTCTCTAGGTTATATTGGACATGTTTTAGTAATTTGTTTTTGTTTTTTAATTTCAGAGTATTACAGGAGTACAAACACTTTGGTTACATAAATTACTTTTGCACTGCCCAACACGTATGTGTGTCCCCTAGAGAGCTCACCACATCTATTCAGTGTGGATTTACCCATCCCCTCCTCCCACCTGCCCGACACCTTTTGAATGTTACGTCCCATATTTGCACATCAGTGATTAGTTGATCAATTAGTACCAGTTTAATGGTGAGTACATGTGGTGTTTGTTTTTCCATTCTTGTGATACTTCACTTAGAAGAATGGGCTCCACCTTTATCCGGGATAATACTAGAAGTAGTTCATCATTTTTTTTTTTAATGGACTGTAAACTAGTACAACCTCTATGGAAAGTAGTACAGAGATACCTCAAAGAACTAAAAGTAGAACTAATATTTGATCCAGCAATCCCACTATTGGGCATCTATCCAAAGGAAAAAAAGACATTCTGTAAAAAAGGTATCTGCACTCTAATTTTTATAGCAGTACAGTTCACAATTGCAAAGGTATAGAAACAATTCAAATGTCCATCAGTATATTAGTAGATTAACAATATGTGGTATATATATACCATGGTGCACTACTCATTTGTTTTTAATCTGATAATGTGCAGCCAGGTTTGAGAAGTACCCCTGTGGAGGAGAACACCGCACTGGAATTCAGACTTCCTGAGTAGTTTTGATTATCCAGTGTTGAAATCACAAGTAAATTACTTGAATTCTTTGTACTATATTGTTTTCAATATAGTACTTTATCTTTAAAGCAACCATTAAGATACTGATTTTTATATGAACGCACAAGGTTTAGATTCTGATTTATAGTGTGCAGTATTAGAGGGGGAAAGTGTGGTCTTATAGCTTTTCATTCCATCAAAGAATGCTACTCTCTGGGAAAATGGAGTTGAAATGCATTTGTATTTTTGTAAGTGTTTCTTATTTCACAAAATTCATTATATTAATAAATTTTTTCTAAGAAGTCACATTATTTATAAACAGATTTGAACAAAGATAAATTTATTCTAACATTCCTCAAGAATTAAGCACAAGCTTTAAGCATAATTGCTCTTGGCAAGTTAGTAAAAATTGACATTTTTAAAATATTTCTCAGTCTTTTGTGCTTATTTGTACTGGTTAGGCGCAGAGAATCCTCTTTGTTAATCTACTTTTAGCCTTCAGGTTGCTGATATACAGGCTTCTGTGGATTCATATGTGCTTCAATTGAGTAGGATTGGTTTCTTAACCCCTTAACCTCTTTTTAAAAAATTGAAACAGAAGTTTGACTGACACTATTAAGTTATAAGAATAAACTGTTGTGGGTTTTTTTTTTGTAAGGTGGGAGTATTGTTTAAATTATTGTAAAAGTAGAATGAGTTTGTTATTTTTCTGAACCAGAAAGAGTTCAGTGGTTTGATAGTTAAGATGGATTTTACATTTTTTTTCTTTTAGGTTGACAATTGCATTTTTTGCACTCTCCGGGCTGGATATGTTGGATTCCTTAGATGTGGTGAACAAAGATGATATAATAGAGTGGATTTACTCCCTGCAGGTCCTTCCCACAGAAGACAGTGAGTGAGTTTTTAGCATTTTATTTTTAGTGTGATTAGTTGTACTTGGCATAACATGTGGTGAACTAGCAAATATTAGTATTTATTCATATGCTATTAACATATTTTACTGATCTATGTTTTCCTTGTGATACATTACTCTCATTCTGCTCAAATACAACACTTAAGTTGAATCATAAATCTCTTGAAAAAACAATTTACAGTTGTCTGGAATTAAATTGAGATTCACAATTGTAGCACCATACTATGTTGTACACTTCCACATTGATGACTGCCTTTTGATTATTTGTAGTCGATATTTATGTTTGATTAGTTTTATAGCATTGACTCTTTTTCATTGCCTGCATTCTTTTGGTCTCTTCAGTGAAAAGCTCTTTGCTATGGAAAAGTTTTATTTCAATCTCCTGGTTATTTTCCCACCAGTGTTTAATTAGCATTTCTTTAATGGTTTTGTAGAGCGCTTGTGCTTCAGTCATATTTAGACTTTTTAAAACTTTAAAGTGTTTGATTAATTCTCAAAGTTCCAGGTTGCACTAAGTGTTGTATTTGAGCAGAATGAGAGTAATGTATCACAAGGAAAACATAGATCAGTAAAATATGTTAATAGCATATGAATAAATACTAATATTTGCTAGTTCACCACATGTTATGCCAAGTACAACTAATCACACTAAAAATAAAATGCTAAAAACTCACTCACTGTCTTCTGTGGGAAGGACCTGCAGGGAGTAAATCCACTCTATTATATCATCTTTGTTCACCACATCTAAGGAATCCAACATATCCAGCCCGGAGAGTGCAAAAAATGCAATTGTCAACCTAAAAGAAAAAAAATGTAAAATCCA